GCGGAGGTCCTGCTGTGTGGCTCACAGAAGGGCTCTAGGCGGCCTGGGTGCTCCATTGCTAACCTCGAGGTTGGCGGTTCACTCCCCCACCCCACCCCACACCCAGTGGCACCACAAAAGTCCAGACCAACTGCTTGCAGAAAGAGAGCAGCCAAGTCAAGCTATGGCGCAGTTGTGCTTTGGAACACACGGCCGGCCTCGCCAAGCGTTAGAATGACCTTGGCAATAACAGGCTCTGTTTGGGGAGGTTGGTTTGGCTTCGGGGTATGTTGCACACTTGGCCAGTATTTACTAAGTGACTGCCAGTTACTGACCGAGCCTGGTGCCACAGTGCTTACTCGAGGTGGGCTGTGATCCACAGGCTCAGTGCTTCGAGACCACCAGCGGTTCCACGGGAGAAAGATGAGGCTTCCGACCCCCATAGACGAATACAGTCTCAAAAACTCCTACCGGGTCCTATAGGGTCGCTGTGAGTCGGAAGCAACTCTATGACAGTGGGCTTGGGTTTGCCTGATTCTGCTAGGCACAGGGACACAAGGTCCTGGCCCTCGTGTTGTTGCTCACGGACTGGAGAGGGAGGCTCATCTCGCACTCAGACTGGTCGATGTGAGCCATCTCTTCCGAGAAGGGTCATGAGTAAGTATTACAAAGGGGCCGAGGGTGGGGGGCGCTCTTTGAGAAAGTCACATTTGAGTGGCCAGAGAAGAACGAAAGGAGGCAACTTGGAGAGGGGCTGGGGGAAGTGCAAGGGAAGGAGAAGGCCCTGAGTCTAGGCTGAGGAGGCAGAAGGTGGGAGGGTTGGAAAAGAACTAAGGAAGGCAGGAAGGAAATGAGGCCAGCGGTGGGGCGAGGGCTGTGGGCAGGCCTTGATAAGATGACCAGATTTTAACATTGGTAAAGCAAGACACCATTGATAAAACTCATATCCTGGCGAAATAGCCACATGGCAGCCAAAAACTGTATACCCTGGCTTGTCGTGCATTCTTTCCAAAAATCAGGACTTTTTAAAACGCCACGGAATGCTGGAAAAATTGTTAAAAATTGGGACTGTCCTGCCAAAAGCGGGACATCTGGTCACCTTAGCCTTGGAGGGCCTTATCAGCTGTGGGAAGCAGTGCGGGTTCTTGATGACAGCAGAAGGAAGCTGTTGACGTGTTTCAGGCAGTGGAGTGACTGGATCGATCCGCATTGCTGAACAGGCCTCCTGTCTCCTTGGCGGAGAAAGGCTTGGACAGGGCAAGGCAGGAGACAGAGCAGGCAGGAAGCCCGTGAAGGCCTGCGCCTCTTGGGGGCTTGGGGCTAGAGAGTGGAGATAAAATAGGAAGGACTGCGGTCCAGTGAGGAGGAAACCGTGTCAGGATTGAGGGTGAGGAAGAGGAAAAAAAACGCCAAGGGTAATTTTTAGAGGGTGGGAGGAGGGCGCGTAAGACAGGATGGTGAGGCATTTATGAGGAGAGGGACAGTGAGAGGCCCAGATTTCGGGGTGGGAGGTGGGGTTCATAGAGTCAGTTGTGAACATACTGGTTTGAGGAGATTTGGAAACATTCCCATGGGGATGATAAGGCTTTGGATGGTAGAGGAGAGGCTGACGGGAGGGAGGACGCAGGGGCCGTCAATACGGAGACAGTGTGGGCATGGTCGAGATGGTCTAGGGAGACAGTGGAGGGCTCAGGCTTGAGGAATTCCAGGTGAATCCATCAAAGGCGGAGAACGAATGGCCGAGTGGTGAAAGGACAACCAGGAGAGGGGGTGTCCCAGAGATGAAGGGGAGAGGGCTTGTCCACCGGGCCAAAGACTCCCGAGAAGCCAACGGCGATGGGACAGAAAACGTTCCGTGGGGCTGTGGCAACATGGGAGCCATGGATACCACAACCGAACCCACAGCCGTTGAGTCGATAGTGACTCTCAGTGACCCTACAGGTCAGGGTAGAACTGCCCCTGAGGGATTCTGAGACTGTGACCCCTGGCGGTAGTGAAAAGCTGTGAGGAAACACTCTGATGGTGAGGTCAGGCTGAAAAGGGGATCTGGGTTGGACTGGACTGAAGGGTGAAGGGGAGAAAGGGAGAGATCCAGAGATGGGGTGGGAGCTTGGTGCGAGGGAGAAGACGCAAAGATACTTTCAAGATGAATGGGGCTCCATCGGGTACTGTCGATGGGAAGGATTCTGACAAAAAATGTCAGGGGAAGATCATTCACCCTGGGCAGTCCCTGAAATCATGGTGAGGTTGGGGTGGCAGGATCAGCAAGCCAGAGGGCCTGATGGGTGCTTCTCGGGAGCCTGCTCCCGCTGAATGGAATAAGGTTAGGATCAGAGACCAGGAAGCCTGTTTGCATGTGGAGGAATTTCGGATGTTGACCAAGCTCTCAAGTGTAGACCGTGGGTGAGGGTAGCTTAGGTCAAGGGGAGGTAGGATCATCCTCTTAGAAAAATGGAGTCACTTGGGATTGAGGCAAGACCTGGGTGAGAAGACTGCTCTGGGACTGAAGTATTTGACGAAGGAGGTGGTGTGGCAGCCCCGTGAATGGAAGGGATTTGTACAGAAGGAAGATGGTCTTCAAGTAGCTATGGCAGAGCAAGCTCGGCTCTGTGGAAGGCAAAACAGGAGGTCCTGGGTGAAGCGGTGTCCCCCAGAGAGCCAGTTTAGAGGAGGAGGAGGGCCCATGTGGAGAGGAACAAAGAGTGAGCCGGGGACCCAGAAAGACAAAACCCACGGGTTTGGCAGAGGCTAGGAGGGGGGCAGGACCCTGGGGTTGCCTGGCAAAGCCAGGAAGGCGGGCATTGCAGTTGGGTTCATTCCTCCCGGTCCATCTCAGAAGAGGGTGGGCCTGGGGCCAGCGAGGAGACACTGGTCCAGGAAGACTCATTTAACAACCTCAGGAGGAAGGAAATGCTTGTTCCCATTGACAAGTAAGGAAATGGAGGCACAGACAGGGAGAGCTTAAGTCGTTTACTCAAGGTCAGAACATAAGCACTTATTACTAAGTCGTTATTAAGATCAAAACACGGGGCAGAGTTTCAAACCCTGTTGATCAGACTCAGTGTAGGTGCCAACATCCTACTTGGACCCCCTCACCTCAAGGAGACACATTGTGTTCCTAAAGGTCTCATCCCCCCACCTCACCCGGGCCCCCCTTGTGTGTATCTGTTCTTTGGAAGACCTGTTTGCTGCCACCATCCCAGAAGCGGGTAGGGGTTGACAGCAGGAGGCCTGTGGATCCCTCTCCCCTTCCCCCAAGCAGTAAGGACACACCAATGTCCAATGGTCCCATGGCTGGGGATCAGTAAGTAGAAAAAGACTGGACGTGGTGGTGGCCCTCAGCATGAGCAACCAGGCCCCTCACCCTTGGATCCCAGGTCCCACAGAAAGGCCAGGAAGGGCCAGCCTCCCTAAGGGAGGCGTTTCTTAACAGCCTTGGTGAACGGGAGTGGAGCTGAATGTAAGGTGCCTCAGTGAAACAAAGCCGATGGGTCCCCATTACCCCCTCCCCCAGCCCTCACCTGGCTGGTGCTGCAGTTATGTCACATGCGCCTGGCTTGCTGTCTGGTTGCTCTGGGAGCTCCCATAGGACTTGGGCTAAGCAGTTCTTGGATTGCTCCCAGGCTGGCCCAGCCCTTTGTCCACAGTAGTCAGTCAATATTTGCTGAAGTCAAACCAGAGCCCAGCCTGGGAGCTCTGGGCTGTGGAGCCAGGCTGTCTGAGTCCCAAGGCCTCTTGGCCAGCGCTGTGATTTAGAGCACATCGGTTAACCCAGCTGCATGGGTGAGGGGCCTGAAGAGTCACAGTCAGTCCCCGACCGTGTGTGGATTTTATACTCTGCCTACGCCAACTTGAGATTCATATGCACCATAAGCACGGAACCCCATCTTTTCATTTTGCAGCAAGCATCCCAAATTCTGTAGCCCCCGGCAGGAATAAGAGACTGTCCACCCCGGGGGGCTTTTGCAAGGATGAGAGGAAATAATAATCTGCCACAAGTGTTTAGCCCATAACCAATGCACAGTCAACATTGGCGACGGTTCTTTGCTGTAAGTGGTCCCGGGAGCCCCAGTGGACATTGTAAGGGAAGGAAATGACCCGGAAGAAATTATGCCAAGCCGAAGTATGTGTGGGGTGGCGTGGGGGCAGGTGGAGGGTGTCGAGTCTATAAGAAAATGGGAGCACTTGGGGGGCCCATATTGCTGAGTCGTTTCCACTGCAGCCAGTGATGACACATTGGCCCAGCCCCGGCAGCTGAGACCCCTCCCCACCACACACACAAAGTCCACTTTTCTAGAGCTGAGGGCGTGGGTTCCAGTCTTTATTACCAGGCCGTGGTTTCGGCCCCAAGGGAAGCCGCCTGGCTCGGGTTCCAGGAATTGCAAGGGATCTGCCGGAGCCTCCGTCAGTGTTCAAGATGCACAATCACGGCGCCGAGAGACGGCATCAGGGCCGAGGCACAGTGGGCCCTCGCCGCCAGGTTCCGATCCCAGGTGGCAGCCTCGCCCCGCCCCTTGCCAGAGGGGCGGAGCTCTGCGGGGGGCGGACGGGGCGGGGCCCTGCCGCGACCACCGGGGCCTCGCGCGCCTGCGCCGGCCGACTTGGGGGCGGGGAGGCGCTCAGAGGAAGGGGTTGGTCCCCGCCTGCGGGGGCGCGTTCGGCGGCCCCGTGGAGCCCGACGTGGGCAGCAGCGGCTGCGGCTGGCTCACTGGCTGCGGCGGGAAGGCGCCGGCCTGCGGGAAGACGCTGACCGAGGCGGGCAGGGCCACGCCGGCCGGCACGCTGCTGAGCGGGAGGGGCAGGGAGGCGCTGTAGCTCATGGAGCCCAGGGGTGCCCCGACGGGCCCGCCCACCGCCAGGCCCAGGGCCGGCGACCCGGCGCGCATCTGGTTCAGGGTGGGCCTTCCTGGCTCACCCGCGCCGAAGGGGTTGGTGGGGGATGGAGCACTGAGACCTGCGGGAAGAGAGTGGATGGGGGACTGGAGCGGGTGCGAGGCATAGCCTTAAATGGGGCGGGGCGAGGAAGATGGCAAATGGGGGACTTAGAGATGGGGGAGAGGGAGATTCGCCCACCAGGGACGGGGCTCTGGAAGGGGGTATCCTACCTGTCAGGAATGGGTTTCGAGTCTTTGCAGCCTGAGGTGTCTTGACTAATGAGTCAAGGTTGACCAAGGAAGAGGCCGAGGGGCCCAGGAAGGACTCAGGAGTCCGGCAGGCTCGGACCTCCATGCTGGGCAGTGTCAGCACGTCCCCCAGCCCGTCCAGGTCAAAGGCATCTGGCTCCTTTGTGCCATTTTGCTTGGAACTGGGGATGGTGGGCATAGGCTCTCCAAACAAGTCCAGTTCTGGAATGGCAATGGCAGAGCCCACCGGTGGGGGGAGGGACTGGCCAGGGGGGTGCAAGGCAAAGGGCAGGGGCCAGCTCAGCGTGGGCTCCCCCATTCCCTACCCCCTGCTTACCCACTGGGCTGCTGGGCTTCCCCAAGGGCAGGACCTGGGTGCCCCCCAGCCTCTCCTTGACCTCTGTGGATTTGGATTGTGGAGGATTGGCAAATGGGTCAAAGGTTGAGGTACCACCTAGAGCTGGGCGGCGAAGAGAGATGGCAAGAAATGTAGGTACCGTCTGACCCCTTGCTAGGGAAGTCATTTTCTTCTCAGCGCAGGCAGGAGCTACAGGCATGTTGGCATTGCAGGGAGGAGCACCCAGACGTCCCCTGGCCCTTCACCCAGTTGCCCGGGCCCTTTGCTTACCAGGTGTGTTAGAAGTCTCCACAGGGGCTCCCCAAGGGTCAGTGCCAGTGCTGGGGAGTTTGTGGTGGGGGGAGTTCAGTGCCCAAGGGTCTGTGGTGGGGGCTCCAGCAGGCAGCACTGGGGTCCGGCCCCAGGGCTCAGAGGAGGAGAGCGTAGGGGGCAAGTCCCAGGGCTGGCTTCGAGACAAGTGATTTCCTGAGGGGACCGGAGACCAGGGGTCTGCAGAGGGACCCCAAGAAGAGCCGCCGGGATCTGTGCTTGGCCTGAGACCTGAAATGGAAAGGGCAGAGATGTGACCGGGTACCCAGCCGTACCCCTCTCCCCAGGCCCTTCCCAGGTAGCCAGCCCAACGGGTGTCTGGGGGACCCACTTCACAGATGGGATGCAGACTCAGTCATCCAGCCCACTGGAGTCCACATTTAGCAAGTTGTCCCAGGAGCCTGGGGACCCAGTTTGAGACCTCTCAGACCACCTCCCCGTAAGGGAAGCCAGGGAGGAGGCGGCAACAAGAGGGCATGGTGAATTTCCCTATGAGCTGGCCCCCAGCTGTCACTACGACCCTGCATCACAAAAGAAGGTGAACTGAGGCTCAGGGCAGTGCAGTGAGGGACTTGCCCAGTGGCCCTCAGCTGGCGCGAGCACGTGGCTTGTAAGGAATGGGTGCTTTGGGGCCAGCCTGGGAGCTCCTTGCAGCCCTCCATGCCCACCTGGGATGTCCCATGGGTCAGCAGAGCAGTGTGTGGAAGGTGGGGCCAAGGTAGGTGCGAAGACGTCAGCCAAGTCCAGGATGGAGGACTGTGGGGGAAGAGGCAGCATGGCTCAGACATGGGTGGAGCCCGGAAGGAGGACCAGCCTTGACCTATCAACCTAAGTCCAACCTAGTCTCCTATTTGTTTCACAAACATCTGTTAAGGACCGACCCCACACTTTACATTTTATAAACCAGTTCCTCCTCCATTTACTGCCTGGTTCTCACAACAGCCTTGTGAGGTCAGTAGGGCAGGTAGGTATTGTGCCCATTTTATAGATGAGTCAACCGAGGCTCAGGAAGGAAGCTATTTGTGCCTGCAGTCGTAGCCAGGAAGAGTGAGCTGAGGTCCAGAGGAAGCACTTTGTGGCTGAAGTCATCCCCAGGGAAGGAAGCAAGCTGGAGGAGCCCCCAGCCCTGCCTGACCCCCTTCCTAAGCTCTCCTGCCAGAAGGGGTCAGTGAGGGAGGAGATCGATTTCATGACAAGCTCCCCTCCCTAGGTCAGTGCCCAGGAGAAACTGGGTCACCGTGAAGACTGGCCCGAGAGGAGCTGAAATTCCCCCAGGTCGCACGGACAGCTTTGGGAGGTGGCTTTGCTCCTAGCAGTTTCCACGCCTCCCTCCCAGAAACGATGTAATATGAGCCTGATGTTTTCAGTACCAGGTACCTGAGCCCCCCTCTAGACCCACAGCATCACAGAATCCCAGTCATGCCCATTGTATGGAGGAGGAAACAGGCCAGAGCAGTGGCTCGGCCCAGGCATCAAGTAAGCAAACAGCAGCAAGCCTGCAGATCTTGCATTAAGACCAGCATCTCACTTTGCCATCAGCCACTTACCAGCCTGATACCGCTCCTGATACCCCTCTGCCCGCCTTATACTGCCAACGCTATACCGAGCCCTGCTCTACACTTAGAACAAATATTACCTCAATCTTCCAGGACCTATTCAGCCTGCGCACCCAGGCCCCCCCTGTCCTACCTGGCTGGCCTTCAGCTTCTCCTCCTTTCTCTCTTCTCTCTGTGGCTCTCGGTTCCGCCGCCTCGGTGCTGCAGCCCCTGCCCCATTGGCCCTGGGGGAGTCATCTCCCCTCCAGGACCTCACTTCCTGTGGAAGAGAGCCAAGGAGAGCCTGAGCGGTCCGCCTGAACCCCAGAGGGCCTGAGCACCGAGGCTGGAATCCAGAGGGAAGTGCAGAGGGGGAGGTAGCGTGAGGTCAGAACCAGGTGCCCAGACAGACAGCAAGGACCACCAGGTGACGCCACCAGGTGAAGCGAGAGGAGCCTGGCAAGGGCCTTGGGTAGCACCTCCACCAGCACCAACACAGGTGGCTGGGCTACTACCTTCGCGTGCTCCTGCTGGCTCAGGCGCAGAGCCAGCTGCAGCTGCAGGTCCTCGTCCCTATGGGAGACTGGGGGGACCGGCTGCGAGGGAGGAAGAGAGGGTGAGCTTGGCCCATTGCTCCCACCCCTGGGCCAGGTGGGCAGTGTAGTGCAGCCCCAGTTAAGGGAGGGGTAGGTGGGTAGAGAGACAGAAATGCCCATGTGGACTGCTCCCCCGCAGACACCAGCATGGGTATGACCTTCCCGCCTGCGTCTGAGCTGCGCTTTCAGTCAACATCAGTGGGGTTGCGCCTTTTCTGCTACCTGCCCGGTCTGCACAGATTCATAAAGCGAATGGTACAGAAGGCACAGGACTGTCCCTACCTCCTCATCAGGGGGTGTCTGCATGGCCCCCTGCCTTCCTCTGGTGCCTTTGTCAGCACACCCACCCGCCCCACACTCAGGTGGCAGCAACCCCAGGTGCCTGCAGCCCAGGCTTGAAGCAGTGAGGCAGTGGCCACCAAGGTCACCACCAGGTCCTGTGCTGGCTGCCCTTAAGAGCGGGGAAGCCTAGGAGTCCAGGCGTTGCCTCTGGCCCTGACCCAGCTGCGGTGGCCACAGGGCTGCCCCAGGAGGGGACCTCACCTTCTCGGCCTCCTCTCGGCTCATGGCCAGGGCCAGCTGCAGCTGCAACTGCTCTTCTCCCGTCGTCTGGGGCCGGGCGTGCTCCAGGTCGGAGGCGTAGCGAGGGGAGGAGGAGGAGGCTGCAATGCGTCAGGGGCTCGGTGACCACACTGGTACCCACGGGCTCCCACTCCCCTGGGGCACCCCACCGCAGCCTACCCAGACGCTGAGGCCCAGAGCATGGAACTGAAGAGGAATGGGGGAGGCCGCGGAGATCTCTAGGGGGCCAGGCCACCCGCTCAACATCTGTCAGGTTTCTGCCCGACCCAGTGGTACAGACGGCAGCCCCTCCTTGCAGACAGATCAGAGGGCCGCCTGCCCCCGGGTCCTGCAGTAGGATATACATCCAGGCCCCTTCCTGCTTCAGGCCAAGGGGGGTCTGGGTCAAACAAGGCCATGGCCCTTCAAGCCCTCAGCAAAGTGTGGGGGCTGTATGAGAGGGTGGGCCGTTCTGGAGTATTCCTCAGACCCAGCAGCCCCCACCCTGGGGGAAGGGGAGGCCAGAACTGTCCCGAAGCCCTCCCCCTACCTGGCAAAGTGACCCAACAGACCTGGCCTGGATTTCTGGCACAGCTGCTCCGCCCCACCCCACTATGTTACGTGTGTCCAGAGCAGCGCCCTGAGTGTGTGGTGTGGTGTGGTGGAGGTGGGTGGGGCCGGGAATGGAGGGGTGTGTGGGCCAGGGCTCCCTCATTCCATTCACACCAACCACCCCCAGAGAACTCAGAAGATCACTTCTCCCACCATCCCAGCCCCCCACCGGGGCAAATGTCATGCTTCGGCAAGTGCATTGGGCACCTACTGCGTGGAGGGCGTGGCACTGTGAGCAGAGCCCGCTTCACCTTACTAAGTCCTGGCTGGCCAGCCACGAATGGACCTCAGCCGCCCACCCCTGGCCCTGCCCCCGCCCCCACCGCCGCCCCTTCCGGATGGCCCACTCACAGTTGTAGGAGGACGGGGACCCTCGGGAGCGGCTGAAGCCCAGCTGCCCGCTGCCCATGCTCACGCCCTCCAGTGCCATGCGCTCCTTGGTCTTGAGGGCGTGGCTGCGCTCCTGGCGCAGGCGCTCCTCGTCCTTGAGCAGCGTCATGACCTGCTTGACCTTCTCGCGGACGTTGACGCCCTGGTCCTTGCCGTCGCGGTCGATGTACTGGAAGTCCTTGAGCGTCTGGACGGTGTAGAGGTTCTCGCGGCATTGGTGGGCCACGCGCTCGGAGCCCGTCTTGAGCAGGTAGTCCAGCAGCGTCAGCGCCTTGTACACGTGGCGCCAGTTCTTGCCGCTGTCATTGAGCCGCCGCCACAGCATGCCCATGACCTCGGCGAAGGCCACCGTGTTAAAGGTCAGGTCCGCGATCTCCGACATGAGCGAGCTGGGCGGGCCCCACGGGTCATTGCTGGTGGCCTCTCGCACCTTGATCTCCGCCTCCGAGTAGTTGTGCACGATGTTCTTCACCTGGCGCCGCAGCGCTGAGGTGGTCATGGCTGGGGACTTGGAGATGGGCGACCCCCGCCCCAGCCTGAGGTGGAGGGCCGAGGGCCACCGTCGAGAGGTCACCGTCTCGGAGGAGAAGCCACCGTGCGCTCAGCAGAGCGGCAGTGTCCTGGGGTTCCACATGGGTCTGAGGAAGAAAGGGTCTGTGACTCAGGGGCAGTGACACCCGCCTCGAAGGCCACTCACCTGCTGGCTTCATCAGGCCCAACGATGTCTCCTTAGGATGCCACTCTTACCATCCCTGCACACACAGAGAAAAGGAGGCTCCGGGGAGTATTACAGGACTCTCCCAGTCACACAGCAGGTGGGGGCAGAGTCTGTGCCCTTGTCAAGGACATGAAGGTGACCCCAGGGACACCCACTGGCCTTGTATCTGTTTGGACACTTGTAGCTCCTCCGGGATCTCGCTTTAAGGGCTACCCTTCCAGCTTCCCAACCTTGCACCCTTCTGGTGGATTGTGAATTTGGGTTATTTCATTCAACACCTGTTTGCTGGGTCCCTTCTCTGAGCCAGGTCCAGAACACAGGCCCCGGCCCACCCAGTCCAGCCGACAGGGTGACAGACAATCACAGAGCAGAGTAACCCAGGAGTAGACACACACACACACACACATGCATGCACAAGCACAGGAAATCAGGGAGACTCCCCAGAGGAGGTGCTGGCTGAGGGGGAGGATAAGGAGCCAGTCAGAGGCGAGGGAGGGAAAGAAGTCCTGGGGGTCACTAGGAGTTAGGCCACAGGCAAGAGACGAGGGAGCATTTGGGGAAGGCTCACTCTCCAAGAGATTTTCTAGCCACCCTACCATACAGGAGGCCAGAGAGGGACATGACCTGCCCACAGTCATGGTGTGTGGGTGGCTGAGCCGGACTAACACCTAGGTCTCCAGAAGACTAATCCAATACTTATTGTCAGTGTCACTCTGTTTTGTAATTAGTCTTCTTGTCTCACTGGCTCAGTCCCGCCTTCTCAGCCAGAATTCAAGGTCCCCAAGGGCAGAGCCAGCCTGGGCACATGGCAGACCTCTGATGTCCCCCTGTGGGAGGCATCAAGCCAGTCCCCATCCAGCCCCACCGTCTCCAGACCAAGCTGTCTGAGAAAGGGGACCCAGGTCCAGGGCAGAGAATAGGTTCTCTGAAGGACATCCCCCCAACAAACAAAACTGGAATGGCCCTCCCACACACATGCACGTGCACTCTTACACACACATCACTACACCAACACACACACATACTCATGAATTCACCAGTGTATACACACTTTCACACGCAAAAACATTCACATATACCATTTCAAACACTCATACACTCATATACAAACACATTCATATACCAACCCTCACACTTTTATAAACACACATTCATAAACCACCGCTCGCACACACACTTACACATTGATGCACAAATACACGTAAACACATTTAGACACATTTATATATCAACTCACACATATTCACACCTCCACACATCCACACACAAGCACGTTACGTACCAAGTACCAACTGACATTCACACACACATAACCAGCTCTCTCTCACACACACATACATATTCATACATTCATACCCAGACACATGTAAACACACATTTATGTACCAACTCAAATGCAAATTTGTATACCAATTCATACATACGTTCACATCACACATTAACACACATGTAAACACACTTATATACCTACCAACTCAAACAAATTCATACACCAGCTCACACATACACTCACATACTCACACGCCAACACACAATGTAAATGCACACATTCATGCACATTTGTAGCCAACTCAAACTCGTATTCATACACCAACACACAATCACACACATCTCCTAACACCCTCATGCATACTCAAACGCACACAATCTGCAGTATCCACTTCACCCATGACCTCCCTGGGCACCTCTTGGCTCTGCCCTCTGTGGGCCTCATGGTGCCCAACTGGCCCATGAAGGCAGGACTCAGGCCTAGGAGGCTGCCTGGCCCCACCCAATCTCTCGGCATCCCCCCCTACCTCCACTCTCCCTCTTCCCCTGCTGGCCAACCTGGCAGCTTAAAGGAACCAGTGCTGGCCCTCTCTGAAGTGGCTGGCCCCGCAGGACAGGCCTTGGCCGGTTTTGCTGGGGCCCAGGTGCTAGGTGAAGCACCACCAGGAGGCTTGGCACTCATGGGCAATAGGGTGAGTGGACAGCGCCTGGCCGAAGCCGTGCCTACCTTCCGCTTCGGTCTCCTTGTCAGGCCTTCTGTGGGGATGAAGCCTAGCCACCACTAGTGTAACTCCGGGCCTCCTCCTCGTCACTGGTGACTCAGACCTGCCTTTACCTCCCCACCTGGAGGCTGGCAGTGCGCTCAGCCCGCCCCAACACACCTCTCCCAGGGCTGGCTGGGGAGACCAGCCCAACCAGTCATGCATCCTGACTCCTCCAGCGACCCGCCGGCCCAGCAGCCCGGACCCTCCCGCCTGGCCCAAGCCAGTGGGAGGGACCTCCAGGCCGATCCAGCAGCCCCACCCTCCCGCCTTTTCTCCCATAAGGTGGACACCGGGAATCTTCTGGACCCACCGCTGCCAGAGCTGGGGGAGGGGGAGGTCAGGAAGCCCGGGAGGGAGGTGTGCCTCCCACTCCCACTCCTTCCCCTGAAGGACGCGGTAGGGAAGACGAGGAGGCAGGGCGAGACCGTAGCGCCGAGGGAGGGGGGAAAGGGAAGGAAGGAACTCGGGGAGGGAGTAGCTGGGAGCGCGGCCAGCGGTGTTACAGCGAAGGGTTTATTGAACACAATACGCCCAGAAATAAAAGGGTGAAACAGAAGCCCAGCAGCTGATAGATAAGGCGGTGGCAGCGGCAGTCCTGGCAGGCGGGTATGGAATTACCGCAGTGACCTTGAGCCAGCCCCTGTCAGGTGGAGGGAAGGACACCTAGGCAGCGCCCAGAGGCCGGTTCAGAGATGGGGGAGAGGCAGGCAGGAGGGCCCGCGGGCTGGGGGATGGGGTCAGAGGAGAACTTTCAGGGGAGCTGCCCATCTCAGAGCCAGCTGGGGGACCTGAGGGCTCCGCCACGCCCCG